CTCTTTTCCCTTCTCTTTCCCCTTGTCGCCGATGCACTGCTCTGCACCATGAGCGTCACCTCCACCGTATCCGAGGGGGCAATATCCATATTGATAAGTACAATAATCTAACGATTTCAAGAAGTTTACAAAGAGAGGCTGAGAAGAAGAATCCAAAGCGGCAAAGTATCTTAGAGGAAGAGACAGGGGACCATGGAGAAGGGAGAGGGGGAAGAAACGGGGGAGACGCGGGGCGAGGAGTGAGGTGAGAGAGGGAGGAGGAGGAGAGGAAGAGACGGGACCATGGAGAAGGGAGAGGGCGAAGAAATGGGGGAGACGCGGGGCGAGGAATGAGGTGCGAGAGGGAGGAGGAGGAGGAGGCGGAGGAGGAGGAGGAGGTTTGGAAGAGGGAGAAAGGAATAGTGCAGAAGCGCATCAGCAGGAGAGGAGAGAGAGCACAGGACTATTACAGAGAGGGAGTCCGGAGTCACCTTAGGAGTTGGGCTGCTGCTAGCCTTGGCTACCGGTAGTCTCCAATCTACGACCCCGAGCTGGCATTGACGACCGACACCCGCCTATGGAAACGAAGGCTGGCGGCGATGGGTGGTGGCGATGTAGCTGCGTTACTGGCGATGGCCGCCGGATTTCCAGGCCTGTCGATGGATCGCCAGCGTGCGAAAACTTGTCGATGGATGGCCAGCAAGCGACGACTTGTGGACGGATCGCCAGCAAGCGAAGACTTCTTACTTTGCCGGCAAAGGGACTGCTCGCTGGTGAACACCGTCCTTGCGGAATTTCTGATGGCGGGAGAACTGCGCACCGCAATTCCGCGGGAATGGGCGGGTGGATCCCCAAGGCCGGCGAAATTCAGCCAATCCTTGCGGGCCAAGCGCCACGGCAGGGACAAAGGACGAAAACGCCGAGCTCATTGCGGGAGAACTGCGCACCGCAATTCCGCGGGAATGGGCGGGCGATTCCCCGAGGCCGGCGAAATTCCGCCAATCCGGATCGTTCGTTTGTAAGCCGCAGATTGCGAATACAGACGGCCGCAGGAGGATGAACTACCCGAGCCTTGCGGCTGAATGCTGCCCGTATGGAGCTGTTGATAGAGATAGCCAGTTCAAGTCCTGCTTGAAAAAAAAAGGGAGACATTCATTCATTTGTAGCTCGTGCCATCCATCGCCCAGCGTGCATCTATATCCTAACCCTGTCCCGGCACCCTACTTTTCCCACCCATGCGGTAAACTTACACGTGCCAGTCCCGCCAGGCAACTGTCCCACGTCTGTGGCATTTACTGGTGGCTACCGTAGCTGGTCGGCCCGCGTCATGTCCAGGTCTGTGCCAAATAAAAGAGAAAAAGAGCATGCCGCTGCTGATGCCAGATGATAGGAAAGAGTCTTGGAGGTATGGGCGGCAGGCCCACACACCGCGGGATAATCGAGGGTGGGTGGGACCGCTTCGCCGAAATCGGCGGAGAAGAATGACTCTCTCCTCAGACCGGCTGACAGACTCACTCGTGTGGCTGACTGGAGATTCGCATACGCAATTGGCGTTGCTGGCGGATGGGTACCTGAAGGGGGTACACAGGACATTCAGCAAGTTCAGCAACCTGCGGCCTCCGGTGCTGCGCCCGTGACTTATACTGTCACTGGTGGTGGTAGTGGCCCTGGCAGGACCACCGACGTGCAGATGCATCCTGGGTGAGTTCCCAGACCTTGATCTCACTGCGTTCCCTGGTACTCATAGTGGAAATTGCTTGGTTCCTGTGTCCTTGTGCTGCCGAAGATGGAAATTCCCAGTTGAGGTCCACTGATCCCGTCAACGAATGAAACGCGAGTAGTTAGGAAAACTGTCTTTGTCGTAGATGGTCGAGATCTGTGGTTGCGAACAAGGTGGGTAGTCTCACCCGTCCGTGACCGAACCCCCAGCCAATGTGACCCGGTAACTGCCAATTGAGCTGAAATTGACCTCCGACAAACGGGCCCAACCGTGAGGGTTGTCGTAGGACAAATGTTGTCCAGGTCTGTGCCAAATAAAAGAGAAAAAAAGCATGCCACTGATGATGTCAGATGATAGGAAAGAGTCTTGGAGGTGGGGGCCGCAGGCCCACACACCTCCTAGTCCATCCCATATCCCCCATCGTCCTGTAAGTGACAAGGTCGTCTTGCAGGGAATGGTGGAACCAGCGGATGAGCGATGGAAGCTGGCGGCAAAAGCAGACGACACCGGAACATGAAGGAGATTATGAGAGCGGGTTAGAGTGGTGCAGTTCAGTTATTGAAGAGTATGGTGCTGGTCACAAATGGCGTAATGGAATGAGAAGACTGTTGTTGGGTTTGAATGAATGGCTTGAACGAAATAACGTAAGGCGGAGTTGTATGACATGCTGCGATCTGGACATCCTGTCGTTTATCAGTAGTCAGTGGTTAATCGAGGTTGAAGGGCGATGTCGGTCTTCGGATGGCGATGGAATTCCCGTTGTATCTTCTTCAACTGTTGATGCGGCCATCAATTGTCTGAGTAATAATTTGCGATTATTGGGAAGAAAGAATGATGATCCGTGTCAACGAAGCCGCGTAAAAGCATTTCGAAAGGCATATTGGGAATATGCATTGCAGAGAGGGGTGATAGAAGAATCCGCACGGCCTCTGCGGTGAGAGAAATTGAGCATAGTAGTGAGTTATGTTTGAAACAAGATTCGAACATTGAAGGGATATGCAGAGGCAGAGGCGTACAGAGATGCTGCGATCTTTCTGTATTTGTGGGAGAGTTGGCAACGATGCGGAGAAAGGTTGCGATTGCAATATTCAGAGATAGATATAGGGAATAGATCAATGAGGCCTGGATATACCAAAACAGATAGGCAAGGATGTAGGTTTCTGATTAGGTTGCGAAAGCCGGTGGCAGGAAAAGAGACGTTTTTATGAATACTTGGTGAGTTGGTGGTGGCTTACGAAAGGATAGGTCAAAACATCAGGAGTGGGTTTCTATTTCGAGGACGACGTGGAGGTGGGGCATTGGGAGGAAGTGGTTTTTGCAAGCGGATTGAGAAATGGTTTGGGGAGCCGGGGGTGTATGAAGGGGAGACTGGTCACAGTTTTCGGATTGGGGGGGTCCAGACAGGGATTGAAGAAGGGTGGAGTTTAGGAGAGATGATGCGACAAGGGACGCGGAGCAGTGTTGGTACATTCATGCGGTATGGGTATGAAATGAGACGAGGGTAAAAAAAAAAGAATAATTCATCCTGATTTGAAGACGAAGGCTCTAAGGCCAAATAATGTCAGGTTGGAAGAGGTGGGGTGGACTCTTGGACTGGGGATGCAGGAAAAGGGAGATTGGGGGATTTTGAAGATCCAAATAATATTTAGATGGGATAGTCTAGGAAACCAGGTTGGTTTGGAGGAATCGGGTGCAATGAGGAGGTATAGTGCTGGACATAACTGGGTTCGGGATATAGTTGCATTAAGTAGTAATGTTGGAGGAAAGAGTCATCTGTATCGTGAGGCGGGGAGGAGATTCCAATCTAAAAAAAGTGCTTCGATGTTGAAGGCGTGGCGTGACCATAACTTGGAAATATAAAGGGGGCATACATGGTGGTCGTCAGATGCAAAAAGGTTTATGGTCGGGATGTCAATGGTGCTGAAGATTTATGACATGATTTGAGGAGTAATACCCCAGTCCGAGTTGTCCTCTTTTTTTGAAATATCATCGGCGTCCTAATTGAGAGTGAGGGGAATCCTGATTGGATTGAGGAGAGTATCGCAACAAAGAAGAATTGAGGCGATTTGTCTAAGCCAGGGATTGAAGAGAGGATCCACGGAACGCATCCTTTGAAGGAAAAGACGGTTGCTTGACTGTCTATGTGAAGTCTAATAGTTGTAGAAAGTAAAAGTGGTGTATGGTTCTTGAAGAGAAAAATAAAGGTTTGAAGGACATCGAAAAGTTCTCTGTGCGTCGAAGAAGAGTGAAGAAGAGAGTCGGGAAGATATTCATTGAAGATGATTTCATCCTTATGAAGTGGTTGAATGATAGCTGCGATTTGGGACGAGGATGCGTCAGTTGCAATAAAAAGCGAGGTAGACCTAATGGTCCAAAGATGACCTGGAAGGTAAGGCAGGTGCTCCAACCACCAAAAAAAGTCTGAAAGAAGTTCTTGGGAACTGGAGAGGTGGGAATCCCAGTTGGCAGGTGTGATAGAGTTGTAAAGGGAGGAGATAAAAAGAGGGGCAAGGAGGAAAGCTTTAGAGAGTGAGGCGAGTTTTCCGGCGATTCTTGCCAAGGATCTGCTGGTGACTTGAGAATTGGAAACTTGATGGATAAGCTTGAGGATTATTTCTGCTTTGTCTTCCCGAACCTTTATGCACTTATTTGGGTAACAATTATGAAATGTAAAAATTTAATGGTTTGAGAGGGTAAGAAAAAACATTTATTGATACTTAAGAAGAAGCCGAGATTGTGCAGGAGGGCAACATAGTTGAATGTTTGCCAGATGAGGGAGGGTAGGCAAGATTTCACTAGAGCGGAGTCGTCTATATAAGATGTTATAAAAATATTTCGAATTTTCATCTCAACTATAATATCTTGCATGACCGTAGTGAAAGTCCAACAGGCTGAGGAAATTCCAAAGCAAAGGGTGTTGAAGTGGTAATTGGTTCCGTTCCAATCAAATGCAAGGAAGGGACGATGCTGGGGGTGTATCGGAATGTGATAATATTCATTCTTGATATCAAAAGATGAGACAAAGTCTTCTGCTGGACCCTTTGAAAAGGTGGCCACAAGGTCATCCAAAGTTTCGTAGTGAAAGTGATAGAATGAAAGAAAGAGATTGACAAATCTGACGTCTAAGATGAAACGCATTTTTGAAGAACGTTCAATTGCGAAAACAGGGTTGATGACAATAGGGGATGAAGAAATTTCAATGACTTTTGAGTTCAGGAGTTGGGAGACAGAGGAAGAGATGCAATCATAATGAAGCGGGAGAAGTTGATGATTTGAGATAAAGGTGGGAGGAGGGAATTGGAGATTCAAAATTCTTTTGAATTGAGAAGTCCAGTATATACCCTTGACCATATGGTGGACCTCAATCAATTTCGGGACCTGAATATGCTTTGTGCCTACAAAATTGAGTTTGACTCCGTGCTTGATCCATTGTAAGACAGAGTAGGAGAACCGACGAGAGGAAGATGAAAGAAGAAGATTCCAGTTGGAAAAGGAGGAAGAAGTGGAGGCTGCGAGGAAATTGTCTGGTGATTTGAGTCAAGAGGAAAGTTTCTAAAGTGCGAAAAGGGATTTTCTAAGATTCGAGATAGACGGTGGACGAGATAAGTTAGTTAGAATTTGAGGGACTGTCGGAATGGTGACAGGTGCAAGATTAATAGGCGGGGGTATTGGAGTCATTCTTGGTATCCTGCTCAGATCTCGTGATGTTGGAGTCTGATTCATGCCTCTTTGCTTCCCTACAGTATTCATAGTCCCTGTTGTTTTCATCAGAATGCTTGCGAGAAAAAGATCTCTTGGTGTCACTTGACTTAGAAGTTTCGCCCTTCTTTTGATAAGAAGATTTGTCGTCCGCTTCTCCCTTGTCCGCCCTGCAAAAATACAGTAAGAGATGAGAAGGCCCATAACGCACATGGCGTGGACATTTTGGCGGTCTAGGGCGAGTAAAATAGTTTTCTGGAACTGATGTTCTTATTGCGGCGCTTGATTTAGACAGTAGAAGTATTCCGCATCGATAAGAGGAAGTGTTTCTTCCATGCCCTCTCTGGATGCTTTGCTTAAGAAGGTCTTCGTCTCCTTTGGAATGCGTTTTTCCATACAATCCTTGACTATGGAGGCGACATGAGAAGCAAAATCCAAAGCAAAAGTCCTGCCATACGGGTAGCAGAAATAATTGAGCTCTACTGTCCTGAAGCGGATGAGAGCATGAATATGCCAGAGGAAGCAAGGGCTAAATAACAGTTTTTTCCAGGCCTTGAGTTCATAATACGAAAAGGGTGA